CATTGAAAGCTTTCATTCTTGATAAAGGTGGATAACAACCCCTTTTCACTAAGTAGCCAGGATTCTAGCCTCATCAAGCATTGAACTTCTCGCGCCGAAAGGTGGAGGGCCCAAACTCTAGGTTAATAATTGAATTCAAAAAAAAAAAAAAAAAAAGGCAATAAAAAAGTGAGGACTTCTCCCAAAAGGTGAGAAGTGGGAAATGATTAGATGGTTGTTGTCTTGATTTGTAACCTAGTTGATTTGAGCTTGTAAGTTCGTAGGGGTATTTGAATGCCTAATGCCCTAAAGCCGTCTAGTTTGGGAGTCATTGACCTAACGCTCGACCTCATGAATCGCTAGAAAGCTTAATAGATCAACACATTGCACTATACTTCCATCTTTGATCCTTAATAATAAAAAATAAAAAAATAAAAATAAAATGAGTGAAAAAATAAGCGCACCTAGATGAATAAAGTTTTAATAAAAGGTCCACTTTTTGTCTTGATGGTCGGTACTAGATTTGTGTGCTAGTTTGAAGATAAGGATGTGATTAATTTTTTAGTTTGCTAAGATAGCAACACATTTGATGTCGGTTCACTCGAAAAGATTCTAGTTTTGTTTTGATTTGTATGATCATTTTCTTGATGTGTGGAGGACCATACTTGTTTGCTTGATGTTGAGATTTTAGGAGATTGCTTGGAAAGGGTTGAAAAATTGCATACTTGAGGTAGTTTTCTCCCAATGCTTGTTTGCAATATTAGTACCTCTTTTGAAAAAAAAAAATGAGCTTAATGTTTGTGGATATCATTTCTGGAAACCCTCACGAGACTTCACTCGTCCACTAGGGGTAACCTAGGGGTTTAAAAGGCTTGTTACATGTGCTAAGTGCAATCGTGTTCCCTACGAAAGTGGCGTTATCTATTTATTGTTTTCTAGTTCATAGTTGTATAGTTGTTCATTTCATTCCTTTACTTTCTAGCTCATTGCTAGGGACTAGCAATATTTAAGTTTGGGGGTGTGATGAGCACTGAAAAGTGCGTATTTAAACCCCTTAAGCCGAAAATAAGCTAACTCAGCCAAATAAAAGCTTGATTTCGTATTTATCTTACTTTACCGTTTTAGATTGATTTCGTATTATTTCCTTTTTCAGGCACTTATCCTGAAAATAAGCTAACTCAGCCAAATAAAAGCTTAATTAAAGCAATTCTGGAATTAAACAAAGAAAGGAGCAAAGTGGAGAAAGACGGAAGCAAATGAAACTAAAGGTGATAAGCAGCAAAGTTCGATCGATCCAAGTTCAAGGTTCGATCGATCGAACAATGATCGATCTCAACACTTCAAGATAGATCCAAGTCTTGACCCAAAAGCATAAAGTCTCAAAAGTTCAATCGATCCAACACCATCTTTCGATCGATCGAACACTTTTGTCCTTATTCAAATGATTGATCATATCCATAGCTGTACCACCCACTAACCACTTTTGTCCTTTTCCCATAAATATCTCCCAAAAATATCTCGAATTTGTCTTTTTCCAAAAAGATCAGCCAGTTGGATCGATCCAGCCTAAGTTCGATAGATCTCAGCCAGTTCGATCGATCCAAGTTCAAGGTTCGATCGATCGAACTTCCTCCAATGCGAAAAAGTTAAAATTCCATCTCATTGAAAGTTGTCCTTTATCCAATCATTAGTGAAGATTGTGTGCAAGACCCTAGCTCATTTTGGGTGTCATTTTAACCTACCTATATAAGAATAAGGATTGCTTTTTACAAGGGGAGCCAACATTATTTTTCATATCATCTCTTGGAGAGCAAGCTTAAAGGAGGAGGAGGCTAGAAACACCATAGGAGTTCTTCATCAACAAGGAGCAGATTTCAACCATAGAATTAACCCTTGAGGGTTTGAACATCATCACCATTAGTGGCTAGACATCTTCTTGGGGCTAGACTTAGCCCCAAGCATGCTTTCTATATCTTAATCTTGTGTATTATTAAGGGATTAGTGTTGTAATTGATGTTTTGACACTTTGATATATATAGATCTTGTTTATTCAATGATTTATGTGGTTTAATGCTTCCAATTGGTCATTTCATTCTATCCATATGTCTATGTATGCTAGAATAGATGTTCATGTGCTTGTCTCTAGCTTTTGTGTTATTAATGCATGTCTATGTGTATTGATGCTATAGATTTGGAGATTGTCAAAACATAGTACTTAAAGGAATGCTTTTGTGATTCTCTTGATGGTTCATGCTTATCTCTTGATGGATTGTGCCTCTCCCTTAGTTTATTTTCATGCTAGTAGTGTAGTTGTAGTGTAGTGTTAAATGAGAGGACAATCTATACTTGTTATTTGATGATCCAAGCTTTTGAATGCAATTAGCATATGTCTCTATCCTTGTGTTGTATTTGGATTGTGAGCTTAATGAAATGATTAATGACTTGTTTTGATTTATTGTGTCTTTCACATGTTGTTTAGACAATATATGTTTCATTGCTTAGATATATTGTGCCTCTCACATGATGTTTAGACAATACATGCTTAACTAGTCATCCTTACTTGTTGAATCAACCAAACACACGTACACCAATATTGCAACACACCATTTGCCCTCATTAATCACTTGTCAATGGTATAGAAATGCATTGCTTGGTGGTGATCTCTAAACCCCAAGATCTCTCTCTCTCTTACTTACTCTTAATTGCATTCTTTTGCTATCACTTAGTTTAATTTAGTTACTCTTTAATCAACCAACCAACCAATTGTTTGATCACTCGACCTACTAGCCCTAATTGTGATTCCACGACATTGCTCGATCCTCATAATCCCTTAGGACAATCCCTTCTCATGCATACTACATAGTATAAGTATTAAGCGGTTTATAAATTTAAGTAGGATGCCCACTTGACACTAATCTCCAAACTCAAAGTGTTGTGCATTATTTTGTGCACACTTCCGGCAAAGCATCAATCAGCCTCTTACCTCCCAAAGGGAAGTCAGGGGTTCAAGTAACATGTGTGTCTGAGTACCAACTATGAAAAAAAAAAAAAAAAAAAATAAAAAAATAAAAAAAATAAAAAAAAATTTGAAGGTTCAATAGAGGTCATTGCATTTTTATACATTCAAGCAGGTTGTTGTAGGACCCCTTTTTAGCAGAGGTCATACCGAATTTTTTTTTTTTATTTTATAATTAGTATCATTTTAAAGTCGTTACATAAACACACATTAAACATAAATCAGTCTAACTATGGATAGAAGTATCACTTTAGGCCTTAACATACGTATATTTAGGGACTCGAATATGCAAATATTCAGCGCTCACCAGCTGTCATGATGTGAGTATGTGATTTGCTACAGTGAGACAAGCTTATATAAAGGACCAAAGTAACACCACTTATCAAACCAGAAATTGGAGCTCCTACCATCTCCAATGTCAAGCTTGATAAAAGGTTTGATTGAGCATCGAAGACTGAGGATCTTCCTCCGGCACTAAGAGCATTGTCCAGATACTTTTACCTCCCAAATGTTTCTGCCTTTGAGTAGGTAAACATGGATCCATTCATAAGAGGTTTGATTAAATATGTTTGCATTTGTTTGTAGTGTAGCACAATTAGCACTGCTTGTGGTCCTAAATTCAGTTAAAATTGATGCATTAGCAGATTTTGGTGGACAATAGGTTGGTGCTAGTGCATAGAGCAACCAAAACATAAGTGATCCTTGCCTCCCCATGCATTAACTAATTCAATGTTCCTAATACATCAATTATAAGTCATATATATATATATATATATTTAATACATCAATTATGTAAGTTTTTTGTATATATTTTTTCCCTTTCATTTATAAAATGTCAATAGCTGATTTAATTCAACAGCCAATACTGACTTGTGTGGCTGAGGTTCTTTCTGTTATTTATTCTGATTATTACGTACAAGTAAAACTATAATAATAATAATAAAATAAAAATGGTCGAATTGGTGCGCAATGGCACAGCAAAGTCTGACTGAATAGGAAAAATAAGACCACTTTGCCTCTTAAGAGGTGATGAAATTTGCGTCTCTTTGGTCCTTGCATGGGAGGACTTTGGTAGTATTTGGTAAAATAAAATTTCTCTACACTGTTTCAATTTTGTACATGAATAAGTCACAGCTCACAGATTTGGAACTTCATTCAGGAAATTGCAGGGTTCTATATTCTGCTAAACTGTTGGATGGATCTCATAAGCTGGTGTTCAACTCATTGGTCATCAACAGAGTACTTGACACACAAGCTCCTAATGTCAGCAGCAGTATATTTTCTTTGGCAAGAAAGGAATGGAAGAGCTTTCAGGAATGTTTCCAATTCGCCTCATCATGTTATCTCCCTAATAAAGTCCTGCATCAGAGCTAAACTAGCAGCAATTAAGTTGAGGAGGAGTTCTGATCTTAGAGCAATCACAACTGAACAAGACCTCCATAGCTTATTTGTGCAGTCTTGTTCCACATCATGTGTGCGTTCGTGGCTTGTCTCATAGGGTGGTAATTCCGGATTCTAGCAGCACCAAAGTGGTATTGAAGTTCTTGAATTTGAACTGTAAGTAAGGCTTTGGTTTGAGGCTGCATTGCTTTTGGCTTTATAGCTCAAGTATTGTTGCCTTCATTGTGTTATGTTGTGTAGTTTGAGTTTTGTAGCCTTGTTTGTGTTGTACACATTGATTGTGTTGTGTTGTAGCTCCCCAGGGCTCTTTGTACATTATTTCCTTTTTATATACAAACTTATCCTTTAACCAAAAATAAATAAAAACTCACAAGATAAGTCTGAACTCCAGAATCAAAATATAATATATATATATATACACACACACTTCCCAATAATATATTATACTGTTATATGGCTTCCCTTTCTATGAACAAGGGTCGACCTCTAGACATACCATCTATATGCCACTATTTAAATGGAAAAATTAAAGAATCTAGATAGATATATTTTTATACCAGAAATAACTTAAAATATGAAATAATTAGCCATTTACATCCGGGTTTAATGGATAAATAATGCACTCAAGAAGGCACTTAAGTCACTACAGATGAGTACACAACATTTCTTGTATTAAAAATATAGGAAATGGTTCAGCTATTGCCCGACACATACATCTTGCTCTTAAATGTTAATGGGGTTATATATATATATATATATATATATTCTCTTTCTATAAACACACGACTTAGGTAATGGAAATCCACATCAGGAAGACACCAGAGGAATATGTGGACTGTGTTTCCACCACAAAATATACCTCTGCATTACTACTGCATTTGTCATCAGAGGAAACAAACATGACACTAATGGAGATTAAGTCAGGTTGATGGAACTTGTGAGAAATTTCTTCAAACGGCTTCATCTTTAGGTATTACTTTGGAAACATTAACTGCCTCATGATTTGAAATCTCTATATCACCATTCTTCGTAGGCGTCGACTGTTCAATTGGAAGTACCTGTTCATTAGTCATGTTCGACGATGGTTGATCATCTTTGCTTTTACCCCATATGACTAGATATAGGCCGGTAACAATGACAACGGCTCCAATAACCCTGTAATATTCAGCTATTAGAGTTACCCATTTGGATTAATTAAATTCTTAAATCATTAGCATAATTATAGATTTATATATATATATATGTATGTATATATATTCGTCACTTTGTTGGATAGAGATTTGTTTATACCTTCCTAAGTTCAATATCTCAGATAAACAGAGAGAGCCCAAAATGGCAACAATAACCATGCTTAGAGGGTTGAAAGAAGTCACAAAAACAGGCCCCTTTTGCCTCATTATTACTCCGGACATGTAATAACTAACTCCAGAAGAGATTATTCCCTGCACCCAAAAATCATTATTTGTTAGAATAAATGAGAACATAAATCATAATTTGGAAGGTGAATATATGTGTGTGTGTGTATATACACATATGTAGGTGTAAATCCAAAGGAGGCCGGTATTAGAATATTAAGAATGTCTTACACCATAAAGTGCAGATAAGAGTTTAGTATCCCAGTGTATGGACCAGATTGCAGTGTTGCCCTTTTCAACAATAAGAGTCAGCATGGCACCTTCCACAGCACCCATCATGCATATCAAAGAGGTGAGAGAGAGTGCTGCTGGGTATGACTTCAATGTAATTGCCTACAAAACCCCACACACACACACATATAAAGCGTGTTAATAATTATTGTTATATAAGAAATCATTAGATTCATGTGGCAAATTAAGTGCAAAGAATTTACGTGCATATTTGCTTCAAGTTTAAAAATGAAAGAAATTAAAAAAAGAAAAAAAAAATGTATTATCCTGGCAAATTTGCTTCAAGTTTAAAAATAAAAAAATAAAAATAAAATAAATAAAAAAAATGTATTATCCTGACATATTAGTTTCTCCCTAGGTTAAAAATTGCGGACCCAATCTTAATGCTACAAAGTAGTATAAAAAAATAAATAAAATAGTTAATAAAATAAAATAAATAAATAACATATAGTACCTATGTCCGCGCATGTATGTGTTTTGACATGCATTTTTAGGTGGTGAATCGTAGTGATCACCAAAATTTCATGCATTGAGCTAGCTCTTTTGGGACGAAGACAAAGATGACGACGATGATGTGCATGTGCATGTATGTGTTTTAGTGTGTATTTGTATGTGTGGACCTATATATATATTTGAGAAATTGAGAATATATGCAAGTGGTGGAAAACACTTACTTGCAGGATGTAGAAACTACCCCAGCAGAGAATACCAGCTGTGATCATGAGAGAACCCTTAATATGATTTTGTTCATTTGCAGCATCTTCGGATTGAACATAGCTTGTCTCTTTGGTCCATGGTAATCCAATTATAGGTCCTTTAATTAGTGTCATAATCATTGCTCCGCCGACCGTCACGAATGTCCCCACCACCTTAGCCTGGCTATGAAATCTCCTAAGATTCACCCTTTCAAGCCTATATATACACACACAACATATATATATATATATACACCATAATTTGTTAAACATTTGAATGTTTATCATGTAATTAATTGAGTACATGCATGCATGCATATATGTGTAATAAATACATAAATGCATGCATGGTTTTATAGAGTGCTTATATATATATATATATATATATATATATATATATATATATACCTATATATATATACCTTAGTGTCCAAGCCATTAGAAATGTTATAGCAGGCATGATGTTACACATGGCTGCGGAAAAAGTGGCTGTTGTATACTTCATCCCAGTATAGTACAAGTTCTGGTCAATAACAGGCCTGTAAGGAGATCCAATTAGATAGAGAAATATATCGTTAATGTATACTATCTATATCTTAAATATTTTGTAATTTAATAAGATTTGCTTTTAGGAGAAGATAGATAGATAGATATCTTACTCCAATAAGCTGAGCAACGTTATCTTGAGGAAGATGGACAAGGTCATCGTTGGCCTCGCTTTCCTGCATGCATTTTAAATAACAATTAACTGTCATTGATTAATTAAGTACTTCGACATCTTCATATTATATGTATATAAAGGGCAAACCTAATGCACACTGTATATGTTACTGTCGTGACATCTATGTCATAATGGAGCAATTTTACTATTGCACTAAGACTCGCACTCAAAATAAATACATATATATATATATATATTGAATATACCTTTCGAAGAACACAGCAAAAGGAGCAAAGACAACAAAGGCCACGGTGTTCCGGTAGACGGCAAATGTGTAATGATTCATGCCTCGGTTTAGAGCAAATTTAGCAATAATACTCATACCAGCTTGTCCAAACTGCAAAAAAACCACACCCAAGAATGGCTTTGCTCTATTAAAAAGCTGTGAAGAGGACTCCTTCGACATGATGATTTAATGTTCCTCTCTCTCTCTACTCTTTCTCTTTCTACTGTAATGCAAGTAATAAGTAGCAATCCTGCACTTACGTATATATAGGATTTTTCACGAACAAACTTTATATCTACACGTAATTGTGTCAACTCTAGGGACTCCACTAAACCGTTCAAAAATAGCCCATTAATTTCTTCAATCAAACATCAAAACCAGTGGCATTAATTTTAAACATAAAATTATAAGTGCACTAAGCAAACATGTCTTTGAAGTGGAGAATTGGTGGGGTTTTACTAAACGTAATACGATCGAATCAAATAAAATTCACAGATATGTGGTTCCAGATCAGACTGATTGATTGATATATCTACTCTGTTGTGTCTCTCATTTGTTCAGCCATGTATTACACGTCATGAAGTGTATTCCACTTTGCTTTTTTTTGCACCACGCATTCACAAAGTGGGACCTCTCTCTCTCTCTTGAAAATTTTCTCTAGATAACACAAGAATCATTTTCTGAAAGCTGATCGTCCAGTCATGATATTTTGTCTATTTTATACATATATATAAACTATGACCAACAAATATCTAATAATATACATGATCATTTATAATGTGCATGTTATAATTACCGACTTTATAACCATGATTAAGATGATATGAAATATGTCAAAATTATTGAAAATCTATGCACCATCTCATCTAATCAAATCACCATATTTGGGATAATATATATATGTTAAATCATCTATCATGAAAGGGTTTTCATTTTCCTTTGAGGTTATTCATACTGTTCAACTTAATACAATATTCCAATCCATTTTGTGTCATTAGTTATATGTATGTATGCGCGCGCGCGCGCGCACACACACACACACACACATATATATATATATATATATATATATATATATATATATTATGTTCTTTTAATTTCTTACTGATCAATATAGGTAAGATTAATGGGATAAACATAATAAAAAATGTGAACTACGCAAGTAATATATATATACACACACACTAGAGATACCCTTTACACTATTAATTATTCGAATCAGATCACACTTATAATTTTGCTGTTATTAGATGCTCGGACAATAGAATTAAACATAGAGAACTAAAGTGAACCCAAGTAAGCATCTAAGGCATCACAAGCTAATAGTGTAGTGTTTAAGTGGATTCCCATTGTTTTTGTTGATCTGGTGGCCGCTTACTCATCGAGTTGGGATCACTGGGAACCTAATTCCCATTTTTTCTTGTTAAATCACTTCTGTAGGGATGGCCAGAATCATTTACATGTATAGAACCATCACAAATGTGTGAATGATCCTGCAGTACTCGATCTTGGCTAGTGGGCAGGAGCCCAGCCAATAGGAAGGCCCTTAAAAGTATTCTTTATTAAACTTCTAAAAAAATTTATTTCTTTTATCAGTTAGGCCATAAAATTATTATTTCAACTTCTAAATATTTTTATTTCCTTACATTATTAGATAGTCCAAGCATTTTTATTTCCTTACATTATTAGATAGTCGAGGCAATAAGAAGACCCTAAAATTATTATTTTCTTCCTTGATTAGACTTCTTAAAAATTATATTTCTTTATATTATTAAGCCCCTAAAATTATTATTTTCTTCCTTGATTAGACTTCTTAAAAAGTTTATTTCCTTATATTATTAAGACCCTAAAATTATTATTTTATCTTTCTAGGTTCCTAACATTTTTCTTTCCTTATATCATTAATTCTAACTAATTGTAACTATTTCCATACTATAAGGCACTAAAATTATTAATTCCTTACTATATATTATTATTGTTGTTGTTATTATTATTATTATTATTATTATTAAGCACCTAAAATTATTATTTTCTTGCTTGATTAGACTTCTTAATAATTTTATTTCCTTATATTATTAAGCCCCTAAAATTATTATTTTATCTTTCTAAGTCCTAACATTTTTCTTTCGTTATATCATTAATTCCAACTAATTGTAACTATTTCCTTACTATAAGGAACTAAAATTATTACTTCCTTACTGGTATATTATTATTGTTATTATTCTTATTATTTACAATGAGAAATTGGGTTAACAATATATTATAGACTTCTTTATTTTATTATATTATTATACTCCTCCTAGCTAAAGAATTTGATTAATTCTAAAATTTTCATTTCTCTTTCTATCAAAGTTCACAATTCTATCCTAATCTAAATTTTTTTCCTCCTTCCCTTCTTCCACGCTTCTATTGAGCCGCCCCCGCTAGTGGGTATGGATCGAAACCATTGTAAGAAGTCAGAAGTTCATAATATCATATGAGGAACTCAAGATAGTGCGTTGAGTACTACTACTACTACAATAAGTTAATTACTTGTTTAATTTAGAGTTGAGTAAATTAAGAGTTTTACTAATGTTTCTCATTTATAAAATTATAATTAAGCTTTTGCCAATTGGGAATTGAGTCAAGATATGTGCCTTAAAAACGAGCTTCATTAATAGCCGCAAAATGAGTTTGGTGTGGATGAATTTAGTGGCTGCAAATTAAAGCATAACAAGATATATATTGTATTGAATGTATAAATAATATACTGTATATATAGAGAGAGAGAGAATTGGTAAGTGTTATGATTCGTCTTCTTTTGAGATGATGGTGTTGATAATAGTTAATTAACTGCATTTGTCTATAAAAATGGCATCCATCTCATACTTTCATAAGTTCATGGTACAGACACTGATTTGCGGTGGCTGTATGGTCTCTATGCAAAGCTTTATTAGGCACAAATCCAATTTGCTAGCAACCACAATTTTCTTATGCAAGCAACATAATTATTGGATGCCCACTGTTAGATGAAACAATATATATATTCAGTGCTCACATACGTATTTAAACTCTCTTTCCAATTAGATTTCTGCATAATTTTGAATGAGTATGTTGAAACTACAAACCTATACTTGAGTCTATATTAGTTGCATGTCCACTTTAACTTTTTCTTTGGGTTCCAATTAAATTTATTTATTTATTTTAATGTTGCCTTTGACAGCATGGAAGTGGTGTTTTGAATTTGAGATTGGAAGTTTTAATTAAATTTCTTCTAATTCCAAATACAAACCTCTAGTTCGATACTTCAAAACATAGGACATTTACAGAAAAGTATGATCGGAGTGTCTGATTTAATTATATAATTTCATTAAATTTTTTTTTTCTTCTTCGTGGCAGTGAGAAGCTTCCAGTTTTGGCAAATCTTAAAAGGTGGAGGGGAAGTGTTGAGGATGATAGAAGTTGCTTTCAGTGCCTGGGAGATTTGTAAAAAAATAGAAAGAGTTGAAAATTGCATCTTTTTTGATCTAAAAAGTGTGATTTGATTTTGCGGAATCTTAATAGAATTCCCATTCGGTATCATGCTATGGTTGAGAGTGAATCGTAAAGTTGATTATTATATTGTGACCTGAAGGCGACGGGTTTAAAATCAAAAACAGTCTTTACCAAAGTAGGACTGTGTACATATGATCCTTCTTGATCAAAACCTTCCAATCGAAAGAGTTATGCACCGGGACTAACCCCTTTTGTTTTTAGTAGGGTTCACGTTGAATATTATGGTTGTCAGTTAGTTGTTGATTTGAACCCTTCGGATTCATTGTCGGCGCAGTGGTGGAAGATATTTGCTTCCTCTTGTAGAATGGCCTAGATTGGAAGATTCTCTCATTTCTTTGATTTGTCATAAAATAAAAAATAAAAATAAATAAAAATTGTATGGTTTCATAATTGCATCGTTTCATAAAATGTTTTAAGAGAGAGACATATCAAAGTAGCATTACTCAGTAGCCTAATTCGTATGAGCCCAATTCTCCGAGCGAGTGTGCAGTGTTTGAATCATCTTTCTCTTAATTTGTCAAAAAAAAAAAAAAAAAAATTAACAAAACAAAATTAAAAAATAAAAATAAGAAGAAAGACATATGTAAGGCATATCTAACCACATTAATTAAATACACATTATATTGGCAATGTTAAACGTTAATCATGCTAATGAAAATGACACTAGAAATATCATCACCGCACTAAAGTCATTTTTGAAGAGTCTTATCACTCTAATTTTTCATTAATTGAATTCACTCGCCCGCAATTACATTAACATCACGTTTATTGTGTTAAATTTTCACCGTACCTAAGAGAGACCTCTACGTATTTTTTAATTTTTTATTTTATTTTCCCTAACAAGAAACTCACACCGAGGCCATTGGTCTCAGCCAATTATCAATTGATGCAATAATAAAAAGTGTAATAAAGCTACATACTTGCTTCCATGTCAATCAGGTGATTGATCGACCTGGACTGTGTAACCAATCACCATTTAACACTTAAATAAATGTGTTACAAAGGTAAGTACGTGGATTGAATAAAGAACCACATTACTGGGCTATAGTGGTAGGCATACCATACCACCTATTTGACAAGAAACTAAATAGAAAAGAAACCTAAGAGCAACACCAATGCTCTCTCATTGGGGCTTCTCAAACTCAAAATATGAGAGTTGGGTAAAAAAAGGCCTCTCCAATGGGTTCTTATTTGAGCTCTCAAAATTTTAGATTCTCAAATTTCTTCTTATATATGGCAGCTGCCAAATTTTTTTTGTAAGTCTCTCATTTCCCAAAACGGTGCCGTTTCTCACCAGTCATCACCCACTCGCATCTCTATATGTATATTATATATATATAAACAAATTTTTTATAATTTTTTTACCACTATTTGTGAATTAATTTTTTTATATAATTTTTTTTTCGAAAATTTATATATATTATAAAAAAATTAATTCACAAATAGTGGTAAAAAAATTATAAAAAATTTGTTTTTTTTTTTTTTTTTTTTTGGTCCTTTTTTGACCAAATATTTTAAATTTGCACTTCTTTTTAATTAGGTTTAATTTTAGTTTCCTTCTAATATCTACAACTTGACTCGGAATATGCCTAATATTAATATTATTGATGTAAATATGAATGGTGGGAATGGTAGTTGAAAAAGAATAGTAATTGTGTTAAAAAATAGCATTTTGCGTGAAATGTACCATTAAAGCAGAATTACTAAAATGTAGTATTTTGACATTATAATACCTGTCAAAATATAGATTTAACATGCGAAAATAGATTTTAGCATTAGAAATGCTCTAACACGAGTCCATCAATGGAAAGAAAGCTCCAATGTGCCTAACAAGAAACAGAATACAAAAGCCCTTAAAAGAAACATTATCTAACTTTACATTCGAAATGACCACCCTTTCTCCAAGGCCATGCACATGTGATGTACTAAAATTAACACAATGAAATATAACAAAGTTCCTAAAAACAGCATGGACTGATGGACAAGATGGAAATGGCACACCAATAACCTTACTCATCAGAGGACAAAAAAAATTTTATCTTACCATACCACGGGTGTTTTCAACCATTCATTGTCAGTGGGTGTAATACACACATGCACGGACGGTGCCCGTTGTACCATGCAACGGGTGCAAAAAATAAATAAATAAATAAAAATAAAAATTTCATCAACATGAAAAGAAAAAATAAATGATAATATAGTATGTTTGGGAATATCGAATTAACGCATTAGATTTGAAATTGGAATAAATTTAGCTTAAAGTTTCAATTAAATTTCTTCAATTTCAAACCCACATTGTCGATTCAGTGCTCCTCAATAAAGTTTTTGTATTCACCGAGTGGCAGCTATCAGTGGCGGAGGAGGCAGAAACTTACTTGAGTGGGGTTTTAACAATAATGTGATGATAAATTTTGAACCAAAAAAGTAAATGACAAAGGAGGGATCTTTTTTGAATTTTGATGCTTAAAAAATTTTGTGAGATCCACACAAGGAGAAAAAGACATGAGTTTTTTTTAATTTTGAAAATTTTGTTGGTCAAATGAGTTAGAAAATGAAGGGTCTTTTTTAATTTTGACTTTTTAAAAGTCTTTTATGGTTTTTTAAAAAGTTGGTAATTTAAGAATTATCAAAATTTGTATATAAAAAATATAAAAAACTAAAAATTTCAGTGGGGGCTGCTCCCACGAACCCCAATGTGACTATGCCATTTAAGATGAGAGATGGTTTATTGGATTCTATTCATTGTAGTCGTACAAAAAAATCGATCGGTGTTTGTATCATTGCTTAACCCTAAGATGTTGTCACAAAAGCATTTTCCACTAAATAGGTGTTCCACCACTGATGAACTAGCCACCAAATTCTTGACATCTTAGCAAGAAAACAAAAATCAGAAATAAGCAACACAGGAGGTCCCAGCAGAAACCTTAAGGAGAGTGATGCTCACCCTTCAAACCAGTCCCAAGTTTCACATAACATTAAATCCTACACAAAATGATGATATCAGGGAGGCCCCATTCGTTAGCTTAGCCACTTGTTTGCCATGTTAGCCTCAACTTTAGAAATGGATAAGCTTTTAGGTCTAATGACATCACAATTTTCATGAATCATTGCTGCCACACTTTTCTCTTGGTGCTCGCGACTTTTCTCAAAACGCATTTACACAGTAAAAAAATGTTCACATATAAGTATCATCAAATATATCTTATGAAGTACAGATATTTTTACGAAGGAGCCGTACCCGTGTCATATCCATGTTGGATACCGATATTTGTCGGACACTCCTCAAACACGTGTCCAATACTTCATATATATGTCCTTAAATAAAAATATTTTTTTATTATTTTAGACACTTTCCCGATACTTCGCCAATATTTTCAAACATTTTTAACACAAGTATACCCGATAATCTTGAATTCATTCTAAAGTGTTCAATTTTTTTCTTAAAGAAAAATTGACATTATACATGTATGATCACAAGCGAAGTATTAAATGATATTTGTTTATTTAAAATAAAAATACTATTATGACAAAATAATTGAATAACTGTATATATGATATAAAAGTCATTACAACTCTTAGTATAGAAATTATTTACCGAAAAAAAAAAGACTCTAGTATAGAAATTAGAAATGAATTAAAGTTTTATAACACTACTACTCAATAGTCAATATATGTGTGTGCGTGTCTATATTTATATATTTTTATATTATTGTTCAAGTCGTACCGTGTCTTACTTTTTAAAAATTTAATGTGTCAATGTATCCATGTCCCGAATACATAGTGTACAGAGGACACAACTAACTCTTTGAAAGATACCTCTGGAGAATAATTTTTGTTAGGTGATAAGCCTATCACGAACAACCAAAGAACAAAAGCTTGTTTAGGTAAAACTTTAATTTGGAGTGCTAAGCCATGTCATGCCAAAAGACTTTGTTCCATCTCAAATCTACACTCGCTCATGGACACTTATTATTGCCCACGAACTTAGATGCTCTTTGGTATGTGTAATTTGACGAGGTTAAAGTCATGTAAAAAATAAATAAATAAAAACTTATTAATAAATTCATATTTTGATGACATTGGAATATTTTTTCTTTTCTTAAACGGACATGAATTGATCTATTTTTAGGACTGCTCCTACGGATATTGTTGATGCAAAATTTTGCACATTCCGGAGTTGGGGTCTTTCCTGAAAGAAAAGAGTGACGAACCGACAAGGAGCCCACAAGGTGCACTCTTTTTTTTCCCTGGTGAAACTTGAAATCTGATTATCAAAGTACTGGCTTAAAAGCTTGAGTGATGGTGTCCCCCATGAGTTTGACACGTACTGTGTTTTGAGGTATCTTCATACCAAATAATTTTTGTTTGGATGCAAAGAATGTTGAAAAAAGGAAAAATGTCAAAGGGATTGGTGCATAAAAATTGCCTCAACATGGAGAAAATACAAAAAAGAATAATTAGGAAGATGATCGTGAGTCATGACTCAGATCAAATGGATATTCCCTGAATATGTGTCTTTGGTCATAGTCTGGATAAAGGAAAAAGGAATGGCACCACTACTGCGGTTGCTAGTGCTCTAGCAAAGAAAAGGAGTTAAGGCCATAGATGATCTCTTAGTATTAAATAAGAAAAAAAATAAATATGCAATGTACAAAAAATATAACCATTTACTAAACCTAAGGACAACCTTTTTCTCTTGTTCCTAAATCTCAGATTTTGAATGAAAAGGCACCAATCACTTTGAATGTATAAATTGCAAAAAGAAATAGACTAGTATAAATTATAATCATTGACAATTTACTGGTATAAATCACAATACGAAAGTACATGCACTGAATAGGAGAGAACCAACTAACATTCAGTTAAGATAGACTGATTGATATTTTCTGATGGTTGGTATCAACAGTTGAGTTTCAGCATACTTTCTTTCCCAGCTTAAAATATCACACACACACACACAAGACATAAGCATAAGTGAACATTTAGCTTACTGTTACACCTTGCTATTCTTGGTTCCTGTCCTTCCACGGGAAGATGGCAGCACCAACCATCCAATTTCTCATCAGCACCTGTTCTAAAAACCAGAATGTGTGCATCTCGTGTAAGTAAAGACTGTCCTGGCCAGTAAAAGTACTTCGCTGGCTCAATTTTATCCTAGGAAAGAAAATCATGAAAAAATTCACATCCCTACCTTTCCATTTTCTTGCCATATTTAGGTTTATGGTAGCCGTAGAGTAACAAAGGGATTTTGGGGAAAGCATCCTTCAAACCATCTGTGCTACCAATCTGAGCTCATTCTGTTCAGTGATTCACGGGCAGGGAAAGCCAACAATGCAGTCGGTAATGGCTTCTAATCCCAATTTGTTCTCAAGAAAGAAATTATTTTGCAAAACCCTAATGCTTGATGCAATTCCAATACAAACTCTTGGAGTAGAAAAAATTGAATAGACAATTATAGTTCACACGGCGTAGATTCAAGCCTTGTATACATACTTTTATAAAAGCATAAGCAAAACCCCTTACGGTATAGCCAGGAAATGATGTTGCAAAAATGTATGTCAAATGTCTCATAACAAACTCACTTAACAGCATTTTATTCTTAAACACACTCTTTATATAGCATTGTGCAGCCTATGTGACAACAAGAACTAACACAGATGAAGAATGACTACTTCTGTTTCTTTGCAGAAGAATCAAGAGAAGAATTTTTACTAAAAAAATGTCAGACAGCGCCACACATGAATCTTCCATTCATCTTTTTATTCTCTGTAATTGGTTTTGATCAGTACTGGAAGACTTCAATAAGGGCACTAGATTGGCTCAGGCTGAATGGCTTTCTGAACAAGTTCAGTCTGTTCTTTCACGTGGACCGAATAGAATCCAGTAGCTGTGGCGGCAGATGGAGCACGGCCAGCATATTTGATATCATCCATAGTACCCCTGCCCAGATCTTTCATGGTAGTAGCAAGACGGGGTGCAATGTAACTGTATGCACCCATGTTCATCGGCTCTTCCTGGCACCAAACAACCTCAGCATCTGAAAGAATCACAGCAGAAATGAGACAGATGTAAGCCACATGATGTCGGCAGGATCTTAGCCATAACAAAATAAGTGACAATGAGATCCACTGGCAAGGCATTACTAAAATCAAGGCAACTTAAACATAGTACATTCAAACAGGGCATTCTTTTGGGCTCCTAGGTTTGTTAAGGGTTTACCAAAGTAATTTTCAAGTCTATTTATTAAAAAATAACATTTTTTGAGTCACTAGCACCACAAAAGGAAAAAATTTACAGGATCTAGAGATCTTTCCATAGCAGTTAGGTGTTTGTGACGTTTATTGATTTGTAAAAGACAGAGTTCAGTTTGACATCATAACAGATGCTCATGCACGCCTCCAAATTTTCCCTTCTTTCTTTTCTTTTTCTCTGAGTAACAGATTGCAGAGTCAGCACACACACCCAGGTGAGCATAATGAACAAGGATAAAAGGTATCTTGACATACTTCAGTGCCCTTGAAGCTACTTCGAAACATATTTTATACAAAAATGAAAAAGAATTTCAAGCATCTGGATAAAAGTAGCTATTCATCTAAGCCAAACAGCAAAAGGACAAAGTAGGGTGACTGTTAAAAAAAGGAACATTTAAAGTGACCTCCTCCTATTAGTTACAAGTTTAAAATACATACTAGGATATCGCTTCAGTTCACGCTGGATGAGATCATATGGGAAGGGACAAAGTTGTTCCACCCGACATATTGCAATGTCCTTGCCATCAACTTTCTTCCTCTCTTCATCAAGCTCATAATAAACCTGCAAAATGGTATGCCAGAAGAGTTAGGTCAAAAGCAATTTATATTCGTAACATACGCTATAAAATCAAAACAACCACATAACATGCATTAACTTAGTGCACCACAATTCAATAAAATAAACAAGGCACTGAGACAAACCAATCAAATTCAATTTGGCTCATGATAGCTAGCTTGCTCATGAGATAGGAGTGACCAAAGACCCAAGGCCAATGGCCGAAAGTCCCGGAAAATAATAATAATAATAAATCAGAACTTATATGAACTTTGGCCAATGGACAAACAGCTCCCTCCCCTCTACTTCTTCTAAACCAATAATACTACAAAAATTTCCTCATTCAAAATTTATAAATAGGGATCCAAATTGCTCAATTATCCTAACCAGAAACTCACGACACTCTCCTCTGTTTCCTTTAACCCTCAAGTTCTCATTGTTGTCTCTTAAGTGTTAAATCTTGAAATTATAATCTTTGTGAACCCAAGTCAATAGCTAAAATTTGTACTTTTAATTTTAACAGATGACAGGTTAGGGGAAAAAAAAAATTTACTCAACTCCCTTTTCATTAATCTCATAGAATAATCAATAATGCGGCCTTGATGATATGTTATTTGCACTTCTAAAAAAAAGATATGTGATTTGCACTTCTATGAGCTGTATGGTTAAGATATCATATTTTTTTCAAGACCACCTCAATTTTTAGATCAACTCACCGAGGTCATATTGTAAATAGGAGTATTAGTCTATTAAGCATAATTAATATAAATAAAAATCAACATAATGCTTAATTTAAATAGCAACATCTTCATGTAGCATAAATGAGAATGTTAAGATGGGTGAGTGGAGTCACTAGGATAGATAGGATCAAACAAGGAAGACTAGTTGTCATAGAAGGTAAGACTTAAGAGATGGAGAGGGTGAGCACAAATATCATGGGATGAGGTTATTAAAAATGATTTTACAAAATTAAATATAGTAGGTGAAATGGCACGTAATAGAAAGGATAGGAGAAAGAGAATTCATGTGGCCGACCCCATTCATATGGGATTAAGGCAAAGATGATGATGATCAACATAAACGTAATTAAATATACTTATACTTAGTTGTATATACTATAAATGTACACTTTTGCATATTTATTCACTAATATTGTTAGTAATTAGTAAGCCAATAAGCAATATATTTATTAGTACTTAAGTACAAGTTATTAAGTTACTTATAAGTACAAGTTATTGGTATAATAAAAATTTAAGTATAAAATATAAACATGCACATTACTCAGGTGGGCTCAAGATACCCACTTCTATTGTGAGATAAACGAGCCAAGCATGATCACAATTTGAAGTTCGTTAATTATTGAGCTCAGCTCAAACTTGTCCCAACTCCTAAGACACAAAATATCAAACTACTCAAGCTCAACCCAAGATCACTCAAGCATAAACTCACTCAAATTCACTTGTTAGATAGATTAGCCTAGCTTGAACTTCATTCTGGAGCATGCTAATTTTTAAAGTTGAGCTTCAGCAATCCACTGCTTGGCTTGATTCACCTATTTTACAGCCCACAAAAAGCGATGTATCATGTTGACATCACTTCTCTCTATGTGTTTTGCACACATGAACACATGCACATATTCACGTGCATGAAACGTTCCTGTCAGGTGAAGTTTGAAAAGTACCTTCAAGGTTTACAGGAAACTTTCTATACCAGATTTTATATGAAACTCTAATTCTCTTGTGCATGCAAGGGGGGAGGGGGGAGCAACAGAGAGAATATTCCAACCTTTCCGGAGCAAAGAACCAGGCGTCTGATACCCTCCTCAAGATCTGAGTGGTCATTCCGGTCCTTTATAAGGCGCTTAAATCTGGTCCCTTGTTTGTCGAACCCTGGGTGCCCTTGGACATCGTCAAACTCGGATAGATTTGATTTGCATTCCTTGTGACGAAGTAAATTCTTTGGAGACATCACAATGAGAGGCTTACGGAATTCCCTGTGTATCTGGAGAATGAAGACATAATAGATGAAAAGTGAAGAAAATTGTCTAAAAGCTTCAGGAATTTAAAAACTAATTTGCTACACTCACTTGACGGCGTAGAACATGGAAATAATTTGCAGGAGTTGTTACATTCACAACCTGCCAATTGCATTCCTGGATCTGCTTCCGAAGTGTTGAATCCATCACTGGTATGACGAAGGGATTATCATCACTCATCTGCAATCAAATTTTATAACTAAGAGTCAGTGAATAGTGATATCTACTTGAAGAAAGATGATTCAGAATTAAAATAAAACAAAATACTAATCCCATCCAAATCAAGAGATTCAAACTGCAAAAGGATTCAAAGCAAAGTGTCACGGGCCCAAAGGGCTGTGACAAAAAGGCCAAATTGAGCTTTTCAATGGTGTCCTTGGCAACGCAAAAATACATACACAAGTTATCTTGTAAAGTGGGTAACTAATACTGTGTTGTCAACAGCTCAAATCAGAACCCAATTCAAACCCAAATTTGACCCAATTATAGCAATACTGGTATTCAGATTCATTGGTTCAGATGCAATCCAAGGAATTAGATTATGATCAGATCAAACTTGAAACCATGTAGACTAAATTCGATAAAAATTGTAGTGAAATTTAACTTAACTATAATGTATTTTAGAAATATTCTTATATTGACAAGTAATATATATTATCTTAAAGTATATATAAGTGTGTGTGGATTCAATATTCTACAAGGATGAATTATAATTCTTAAAATATCATATTAAAATAAATTCATTTTAGTGATAAAATGCTATTTTCTTATAGAATAATTCTATCACGAGGGTGCTGTCATGGTGAGCTTGCATCCTCAACCACTTGATCAAAAGGCTATGAGGTCAGCCTCTCAATCCAATAGCGTGAGGTCACCCTGAGAGTGCCCTCATTATTGCATTTGTCTAGAGGATTCAAATTTTTGGAACTTTTATCAACTTCAATCTTGACTGATATTATGTAGGGACCAGTCATATTCAAATTCGAACACGGATATCAATACATATAATCATATTCAAATTCAGATCTTGCCAAATAACCAATATCATGCTCCCATTACATAAATATTTGGATTCACCAATATCGGTATATATATGTTTGACCCATTTATGATGCCCGCACCACATAACAAGGACATCCAGTCATCTCAGTGACTTAAATTTAATATTAGTTGGTATTAGCTAAATCCTTAGTACCAACTGTCCAATAGATACTTCAAAAATATCAATTCCACTTGTACTTGTCTCCTTTTCAAAATTACCCTAATTGGTCTAAAATGATGAGCTGAATTATGCAAGACATATGTATATATCATTATACACTATTAGAAGTCATTTCAATTTCAAGATCAGTGGAACTATTGCAGTTCAAGTATAATTCTCTTCCGATATTCAAGATGAAATTTAAGGCTCCATTCGTTGAAGCAGAATGGGACATTCTGCCAACAAACACAAATCACGTGCAGATACATGCATTTTTTTTTCCTAGTTGCAGAAACATGTTTTTATTTGTGTGTAAATAGATAGATCAAGAGAGAAGAGGGAACAGGACATGGCAGAAAATAACAGAACAAACTTACAAATGCATCTGTTTTCCCAATAAGATTGTGAATACTAATTGAATGAACTATGAATACTATTTTATGATAAGGCAGTACCTGAAGGAAACGCTCCAAGCGAGCACTTGAATGTTCAGGGCCCTGACCATCATAACCATGAGGTAGCATCACAACAAGCCCCGTTTGACGCAACCACTTTGCCTCCCCACTGCTCAAAAACTGATCGAACATCACTTGAGCTCCATTAGAAAAATCACCAAATTGTGCCTCCCACATTACCAAAGCATTTGGATTTTCCATTGAATAACCCAATTCGAAGCCCAGAACACCAAACTCAGAAAGAGAGCTGGATGGAAAATAATATGGTCTCTTAATTAGTTAAAAGCAACTGTCAACAAAGCACCAAATTCACAAGAAATGTGTAGTGCCTCAGATGTTATATTTAACATGGATCACTGCGCTTTTTAATTCATATAAATTGTAAGAAAAATATCAAAACAGTACATATCTGCACTTGGAATCTAAGAAGGGTGCAGGATCAGTGTTAAAACACCCGTATCTTTGAAACCTAAAAATCTATTCTATCACCTGCTTTGGAAAAGTATAAAAAAGATAGGCAAAGCTGACATACATCCATACCTTGGACTATCACACAATTATACAAGCATACACAAATATATATATATATAAACATAAATATCTTTAAGGTTTTATGAAAATCGCAAAAGAAACTGTATGCATAGGGGAAAAAAATTATAAATTAGGGATACTTTAGCAATTGCACCTATTAAGCAACCTAATTCTCTAGCACTGATACAGAGAGGGTGCGCAAAACAAGAGGATAAATAAACCATCAAATTATTTTTTTGATGAAAAGAAATATTAAATTTAAAAAATCAACAGTCAGCAGTTATAATAGTGTTATTGACTACAGTAGAACTTGATATGTTGACATCAAAGAGAGAGAACGATAATTAAAATAAAAACAAACAACTATCAAAGGATAAAGTTGTGACAGAAGAAATGTTAAAAACAGGATCCAGAACTTACCTGTTGCTTACAGTAAACATCTCCTCATTTTGGTTCATCATGACATGGTCCAAAGGACAGTACTGCTCTCCAGTTTCCTGATCATGAAGGACAGAGTGCCGATGACTAAAAGTTCCTCTCTCGACATCCTGACCGCTCAACCTTACATGATTTCCTTCTATGAGTAATGTTGCAAAAGCAAGAGCTTCCCCAACCGCCCAATCAATGCCCTCTCCTGTTTCGATCATCTGTGCACGGTCTCCAAAAATTTTCTTTACTGCTCTGTGAGGCTTAAAATTATCCGGAAGAGTTGTGATTGCTTTTCCAACATTCTTCAAAATCTCTGGTTTAACGCTGTAGAGTAGCATGTAATTTTGAGCAAAGAAATTCAAGTACAATTGTTTTAGAGAAAACGAAAATAACAAACACACATGACATACCCAGTGTTTCGGACACGTGAAATCTGTTCAGGGGACTTGAATCCTGACCAATAAGCTGAAAGCCAGTCCCTTCTTTTTGGGAGATAATCTTTGCTGGCCAGGAATTCTTCGTTAAGGATTGAACTGACTTTGTTGTGTATCTTATCAGTGTCTTCTTTTGTCACCTGACCAAGTTCTAAAAGTTTCTTTTGGTATATCTCAAGTGCTGAGGGATGATTCCGAATGATCTATTAGCATCCATTTCAAGTCAAAAGATTTGAAAATTTTATAACTATAGTCAAATGAAATATACAAACCAAATAAACCAAGGTAACCATAGAGAGAATAATGTTAACCAGAAATATATATATATATATATATATATATATATATATATATATATATGAAAGGATCTAAATAGTTTGAGCATGTGCCTCAAGTCTACAGCAGCCATGAATTCAAGAGAGTTAAACAATAAAACAGAACTAACCTTATACATTTTGGGCTGAGTAAAAGATGGCTCATCAATTTCATTGTGCCCAAATCGACGATAACACACTATATCAACCACAACATCTGAATGGAAAGTCTGGCGCCACTCTGCTGCCAGTTCACAGACATGAACAACTGCTTCCATATCATCACCATTAACATGAAAAATTGGTGCATCCAAGGCTTTGGCAACATCTGTACAGTACTGCGAGGATCTTCCTGCCCTTGGGTCAGTAGTAAAAGCCACTTGGTTGTTCACCACAATGTGTATGGTCCCACCAGTAGTGTAATTCGGAAGAGCACTAAGATGAAGGGTCTCGTAGACTACACCTTGTCCCGCAAAGCTACCATCGCCGTGAATCAAAATACCCATATTCTTTGTCCTATTCTCATCGTTGGAGTAATATTGTTTTGCTCTAGTTTTCCCAACCACTACTGGATCCACAGCTTCCAAGTGACTGGGATTTGCAACCAAAGACAAATGAATTCTCTTCCCTCCCCTAGTTGGACGATCATAAGAAGTTCCCAAGTGGTACTTGACATCACCAGTTCCAGTGTAAAGCCCAACTTCATCCACAGGCTTTGTACCACCACTAAACTCACTAAAAATCTGGCGTAGCGGCTTTCGAACCACATTACCTAGAACGTTCAATCTTCCTCTGTGAGACATTCCAATTACTATGCTCTCAACCCCAAGATCTGCTGCCCTGTCAAACATCTCCTTCATGCCAGGAATCAGTGTCTCACCACCTTCAAGACCAAACCTCTTTGCCGCTGTCCACTTAGTAGCCAAGAAGTTCTCAAACTGTGTGCTCCAAATGAGCCTGTCAAGGATAACCTCGCGTCGCTGGCGATTATATTGCAGTGGTATTGGGGTCTCAATTTTATCTCTCAGCCAGTTACATTTTTCACGATCAGCAATGTGCATGTACTCATAACCAATGCTCCCACAATAAGCCTGCTCAAGCCGGGTCAATATTGCTCTAAGGGTTTGTACAGGACGATTCTCAGATAAAAATCCAGACATCCTCCACACACCAAGGAAAAATTCCCGATCAAGATCAGCATCAGTAAAACCATGAAGAGCAGGGTCTAAATCATCAGGAATTTCCCGCTCTTCCAAACCCAATGGGTCTAACTTGGCTTTCATGTGACCATTAACCTGGTAAGCTCTCACAAGCAACAATAACCGCATGCTCTCTTGAATCGTTTGGCCAGAAATTCCAGGCGAAGAGGATGCCTGGCCAACAAAGTTTCTGAAGAAATTATCCCATGACTCATCTACACTCTCGGGGTCTGCCTCCCAAGCCCTCTGAAGCTCCTCAATGTACACACTACTTGTTCCATCTAAGAAGCTATCAGTTAACCTAGAAAGCGGCACAGGGCGAGGGACGGGGGCAGCCTGTGCCTTTGATTTGAAAACTGTTGTATGAAAATAACGATTTTGCAAAGGAGTGACCCCTGTTCTTGCTGTGTATGACCTACCCTGTGATAGAGTTCTCCTAATTGCAAGCTTCGCGATGCTAGAACCAGCTCTAAACCATGCCATTGCTACTTACTACAATCTTCAAAATGAATACAAATTTGCCAAATTATAATTCCCCAATAGACAATTTCAAATCCTTATAACAGTTCCATCATCTCACTGTTATACCAAACCCTAACCTAAAAAATAAAAAATAATTAAAAAAAAAGGATCAATTTCAATAATAAAAATTGTCAGACATATTCAAAACTTTTATGCATTGTACCTCATTGTATAGAACTCGATTATAACAAATTAATAATTATAATCGAAATTAGGAACGAGATTTTTTACCCATTTCCGAAAAGTTGAAACGGAGTGAAATCTACAATCATTACAACTTTATTGGGTATCCAATTAATCAACTGAAGATCATAAAAACCTATCAGCTAAGATAACAAAAATTCATGCAATAGAGTCGAAAATGAAAACCAGACGAAAAGAAAAAAATTAAAAGAGAAGGAATCAGAATTTGCAGATCTAACTGATAATAATGCAAAAAAATTGCATCACAATAATGCAACAAATACATAAACGTGTGCTTGTGTGTGTATGGGTGTATATATGAGTGTGTATATATTTATATACAAAAAAGGAAACGTAAATTAGATAGGAAAGTTAAGATGAAACACCTTAAACCTGAAGCAGAGATGGGCAATTCTCTCCGAGAGGAGGCTTTTCTGACCTTTTGGAGACGAAATCTCATTACGCTACAGTTGGTCGTACTTTTGACTTTAATTTATTTCTCCATAATTTTATTTTTTACACCTTTGTTTTCTTTTTCTTTTGTCTTTTTCTTTTTTTGAGAAATTGAAAAAACGAGCTGAGCCCTAAGTTCATAATAATTTCTATTTTGATAAATTATAGTCATCTCAAATTTCTCTAGGAAGAAATTTGTTTTTTATTTTTCTATTTTGCTTTTTAAGTTATATCTAATACTTTTTTATAAAAAATTAAGAAAAAATTAATATTATAAGGGTGAAATTAGAATTTTGAAGCTTTTATTTTATTTTATTTTTGACTTAGTCCACTTGATCATTAACAAAGGATGAGATTTTTCAAATATTAGGAACGGCCATCAGTTACATTCAATTCCATTTTACAATTTTTTCTAATTTTTTATTCATCACTATCTTTCTTTTCTTCCATTCTTTATATATATATATATATATAAGTTATGTCTCTTATCATGTTTAATTCTTGTAAATTATTTTTAAATACTTCATCTCTTATAATCTACTTCTGTGAAAAAAAGTGTGAATGACTAACATTGCTTACGCGGCTTGAAAATAGTATAGCCCCCTCCTTTTCGTTGATCTGAGTATTGTTTCTGGCAGAATCACCGTCGTTGAAGTTTTGGATAGTATGACTAGGGATGGCAATAAGGTGGGGTGGGGTGGGGATCTCATTCCCCATCCCCATCCTCGCTGAGTTTTTCATTCCCTATCCCCACCTCCATTCCCGCTTAAAATTTCACCACCACCCCCATACCCGTTCCCACCCCTTATCCCCATCCTCGCCCCCGCCCCATCCCCGGCCCCGACTCCGACCCCGATTAACATATATTATTTTTTAAAAAAAAACGTAATTTTCTAATTTTCATATATATACTAAAATTAATTTAGTAACAAATTATTAAATGTAAGGGTATATTAGTAATTTAACATTTAAACGGGGTAGGGCGAGGCGGGTTTACCCCATCCCCCGCCCCCGCCCCTGGCGGGTTTTCAAAATTTGCCCCCATCCCTATCCCCGTTTACATAAAAGGGTCCCCATTCCCGCTATAAACGAGGTGGGGACCCGGCGGGGATGGGGAATTTGCCATTCCTAAGTATGATCGTGATCTCTAGAGAGATTTGGCATACGAAGGGTAAAAACTCCAGCCCGATCGTCTTATCTTGCTGGAGTCGTTCCGCAAGAGCTTTTCCATTCCCACAAGTACATAGTTGGATGATGACAAGGGAATTAAGCTCATTCCGTAATGATTTGAGCTTTGTGAAATAAGCTAAACGGACAAGTCCTCTTGCTTAAGAAAGGAAATTGACTATTTTAACTGATAAATTTGTGAAGCATTGGTTTGAGAAAAAGATCCAACCAAATCTCCCTCGCAGTGTGCATACAAGATATTTACATATCTTCCATTGAGAGAGTTCATTGGGTGTAGTCGGTTTTTTCAATATGCCATTCACAAAAAAAAATAATAATAATAATAATAAAATAAAATAAAATAGCTTGTTTTTGGCATTAATCCTTGCAATTCACTCATTTTCAAACGAAGGGTTTGTGTTTCAACCTTTCAACCATTGAAAAAGTAAGTAGGAAAATAAAGAATAAAAGAGAAACGAATTAAGAAAGAGGTTTTGAGAAATTAGGCTCCGATACCATGTGATGAACACGAATAATTTTAATTATTTCTTCCTCAAGTGAGGAGAAAATTAATATTTATTTTCTTTCTACACAGACATATATATTACAATATGGGAAGAATCACGAAACTTGATTTACACATATTATAGTTCAATAAGAATTCTTACTCTACACGAATTCAACAAGAAATGAAATAATTATGTCTAAAATAAATCTTACATAGAAAGTCAAATATAATACATATATAGTAATAAGTTAATGGCCGGCGTACCGCACCACCGTCAAGCTTGAGGAGTGTGCATTATAAGGCGAGGGTCAATAGTTTTACATTTATAGAAGCCACTACTACCTTCACTATAAATATAGCTAGGGCGAGTAGGGATCGTCCCAAGGGATTGTGAGGATCGAACAAGGTCGTGGAATCGCTATTAGGGTTAGTAGGTCGAGTGATCAAACAATTAGTTGGTTGGTTGATTAGAGAGCAACTAGATTAAACTAAGTGATAACAAAATAATGCAATTAAGAGTAAGTAAGATAGAGAAGAGTCTTGGGGTTTAGAGATCACCACCAAGCAATGCATTTCTATACCATTGACAAATGACTAATGAGGGCAAGTGGTGTGTTGCAATATTGGTGTGTGTGTGTTTGGTTGATTCAACAAGTAAGGATGACTAGTTAAGCATGTATTGTCTAAACATCATGTGAAAAGCACAATATATCTAAGCAATAAAGCATATATTGTCTAAACAACATGTGAAAGGCATAATAGATCAACACAAGTCATTAATCCTTTCATTAAGCTCACAATCCAAATACAACACAAGGTTAGAGACATATGCTACTTGCATTCAAAAGCTTGGATCATCAAACAATAAGCATGGATTGTCCTCCCATTTAACACTACACTACATCTACATTACTAGCATGAAAATAAACTGGGGGAGAGGCACAATCCATTAAGGAATAAGTATGAACCATCAAGAGAATTACAAGAGTATTCATTTAAGCACTATGTTTTGACAATCTCTAAATGTATAGCATCAATACACATAGACATGCATCAATAACACAAAATCTAGAGACAAGCACATGAGCATCTATTCTAGCATACATAGATATATGGATAGAATGAAATGATCAATTGGAAGTATTAAACCACATAAATCATTGAATAAACAAGATCTATATATATCAAAGTGTCAAAACATCAATTACAACACTAATCCCTCAATAACACACAAGATTAAGATATAGAAAGTATGCTTGGGGCTAACTCTAGCCCCAAGAGGATGTTTAACCACTCATAGTGATGTTGCTCCAACCCTCAAGGGCTAACTCCATGAAAGAAATCTGCTCCTTATTTATGAAGAACTCCAATGGTGTCTCTAGCCACCTCCTCCTCTAAGCTTGCTCTCCAAGAGATGATATGAAAATGATATTAGCCTCCTTTTGTAAAAAGCAATCCTTATCCTTATATAGGTAGGTCAAATGACACCCAAAATGAGCTGGGGTCGTGCACACAATATTCCCTAATGATTGGATAAAGGACAACTTTCAATGAGATGGAAATTTAACTTTTTCGCACTTGAGGAAGTTCGATCGATCGAACCTTGGACTTAGATCAATCGAACTGACTGAGATCCATCGAACTTAGGCTGGATCGATCCAACTGGTTGAGCTTTTTGGGAAAAGACAAATCCGAGATATTTTGGGAGATATTTATGGGAAGAGGACAAAAGTGGTTAGTGGGTGGTACAGCTGTGCATAGGATCAATCATTTGAATAAGGACAAAAGTGTTCGATAGATCGAAGGGTGGTGTTGGATCAATCAAACTTTTGGACTTTATGTTTTTGGGCCAAGGCTTGGATCTATCTTGAAGTGCTGAGATCGATCATTGTTGGATCGATCGAACCTTGAAGTTGGATCGATCGAACTTTGCTGCTTCCCACCTTTGGCTTCATTTGCTTTCTTCTTTCTCCACTTTGCTCCTTTCTTTGTTTTATCCCAAAATTGCTTCAATTAAGCTCTTATTTGGCAGAGTTAGCTTATTTTCGGGATAAGTGCCTGAAAATGGAAATAATATGAAATCAATCTAAAACGGTAAAGTAAGATAGATAAAGGTGCTAGAATGCCTAAGCTTAAAGGGTTTAAATACGCACTTTTCAGCGTTCATCAGTTAACAACTTCTTTGTTCCTATTTCATAGACTAAACAAAATTTTCACATGCATCTTCGAGTCTACATTATATACAACCGTGCCACTTATATCTGTACAAACCTACTTTTTTTCAAAGAAACTTTGGACCAATCAAGAATCATGTTTAAAACACACCAATACAAAATAAAATAATTTAAATTTAAATAATTTTCAAAATAAATTAAAAGATTTATAATTATTTATACATATTTTCACAAGCTTTTATCCATCTAAAATATATATATATATATATATATTATAATAATTGTTATATTTATATATACATGGTGTGGGGTTCATTATTTATGAAATTTTGGAAGAAATGGAATTAGTAGTGTGGCTTACTATTGAGAGAATTTGGTACGCAGATTTGAATTATTTTTATAGGTTCATGGTATATATAATGATGTAGGTGTAAACACATTAAATATATATAAGCAAATTGTTTTCTTAGCTTGCTTTGTAAGCTTGACTTATGGTTATATATATATATATATATATATATATATATATATATATATATGAGTATTGGTATGTATCCGAGATGTATAGAAAAAATAAAAGGAAATACAGAAAGCTTTCTCCCTAAGGCTTCGTTTGGTTAGACAGAAATTTTTATGGAAAGTGAAAGTGAAAGAAAGGAAAATCAAATTTCTATCATACATTTGGTTAGCAGGGAATATTTTGAAGAAAGTTGTAAGAAAATATTATTTTATTAGAAAAGAAAATGATTCTACTTACCGAAAATACCCTTATAATTTTAAATAGTAAAAAAATAAATAAATTTATGTTTGATATATATTATTTATACTTAATTATTTATTTTAGTAAGGAAATAGTGAAATATGGAATAAAATAATGTGTGATATCATAATACAATTTTTTTGTTTTCTCCTTTATATATATTTGCTTTCTCCTCTCTCTATATATATTCACTTGTTCCTTGTGTTTTTTGCACGAAAAATTTTGAAGAAAATTTTCAGATGCGGGAATCCTACTTTCCCCAAAACTTTCATTTTCCTTCTAACCAAACTTCCAAAAAATTTAAATATTTTCTTTTTCTTTTCTTTTCTAATTACTTGACGCTAACCAAACGGACCATAAAGGAAATAAAGAAAACTCTCTCTCTACATTCTGTCATCTTTCTAAAAGTTTATATTTGTTTGG